AAAAAAAAAAAGACAACATAGTTACTATTAGTAGTATGCAATTAATGAAGAAAGATGTTTTGACCAAAATTTAGTTGCTATTTTTAATAAATGTTAATTCTGTTTATATATACAGATTGTTAGGAGATTTTACTAAATATAAAAAAAATTGTCTTTCCGAAAATAAATAAATAAATAAATAAGAGAACTTTGTCTAATAGTAATCTCCGTTAAATTCCATTAAATTATAACTAGTACAATACTCGTGTTATGTATTACACGGGTGCTTGTTAAAAAATTATATTTAAATTTTAAAATTAATGAAAAAACTATATTAAATTTAGTTTACTTTTTTACCAAAAAAATTATATTATTATATATTTTAGAATGATATGTGTTACTTATGAGTTACATGTGTTATATTATGTTAGTTTTTTATAACTTATATCATATAACTACTTGAAATATAAATATAATTTGATAAATAATTTTATTTTTCTAATTAATATTAACAATAATTTTATTATTGTTATAAAGATAAAAAATTATTTTTTTTATACATACAATATGGATGTTAAATCGAAACTCATCAAAAGAAGATTAATTTGATATATTACATATGTAAAACTGATAAAAAATACAAAAGTTATTAACTTTTAAAATATATATACAATTAGAAATGATATTAAAATTAAAATGAATTAATACATTTAACATGACCATAAATAATCAACATATTTATGGTAATCAGAACCTAATTATTTTTGTTTTGGAATTAAATTAAAGTTTACCCTAGCAGGCATATAATTTTGCCACATAGGATTCCGAAGCACCAGAAGCAGCTACGTAGGTTCAGCGCGTTCTAGATTAATATATAGGGAAGGAGGATACATTATTTTTATAATAATTGTTTTGTTTCTTCCTATGCTTTACTGTCCAATTCTACAAACATGGTCTGTAACATTATAAATGTTAATAATAATATGGTTAAAACACCCTAGAGATGATACGGTATTGTAACATTTCCCAATAATAATAATTCAATTATTATTGCAATGCAGAAGTTTCACCGTCTCTCTTGTTCTTAATATAAGATCTTGATTGCAGTTCCGAATTTTTGTCGATAGGTCCTCCGTTTATAAAATGAGATTGATGGATTATAACATTAAAAAAAAAAAAAAATGAGTTTTATTAAACATTATGGTATTTATAATGTCCATATAACATGACTATGTAACTCAATTATGCATCTTTTCAAAGTATAATTTTATATCAAATAGATTACAAATATGTCTCACTAGCAATCTATCTATTAATATATAATAAGGATTAACATAATTCACTTTTAGAAATATTTTCCCGCCAATTTCATTAATTATTGCCTAAAAATAGTAAATTAACAAAATCTCTATTTATTAGCATACCTTTTTTATCCAATTTTTTTTAGGAATACAATAAAAAATATAGAATAAAAATCAAAATAAATCTAAGAAATATACTTACCATATATAATACACTTAATTTAAGAAATACACTTAACTTACATATTTTAAAAAAATTTAAAAATACAATATAAAACATTTAATTAATAATTGTCAATAAAGATTTTTTTTAAGAATTAATCATATTTCTAATAATTGTTAGAAATATAAAGATTTTTTTACTTAGATAAACGAACGGTTAAATAAACTATATAAAGAGTTTCACAAGATCAAAGTCAAGGGTAAGATAATAGCATATCTATTTTATTATTATATTTTTTTTAT